ACGTGATAATTCAGCACTTAAAATTAAAAATTTCATTGGTGCTGGCACCGGGGATCGAACTCAGGTTGCTGGAGTATATTGAATTAAAGGCGAGCGCCCGGACACTGAGCTATCACGACTCTTACTGAGCCATCACGGCTCTTACTGAGTTATCACGGCTTTTACTGAGCTATCACGGCTCTGTGATATATACGCGTCAAATATAACATTCAATTGTCGAATAGTTTTGCACGCCCGAACAAAACTGTCTTGTACACATGCCTGCATGTCTACATTGCTTCTGCCAGAATTCTACGGAATAGTTTTGTCTGTATTCCTGTATGAACGCGTTTACTATGGTGCGGCCACTAACAGCATTCGCTGTTGCACGAATGGGCAGGTCCGTCCGGGTAAGTACCACGACCTCACAGAAGACCGGCGTCAAGTGGAAGCCAAACCATTCAGGAAGTGTTATACTTATGCGTTTCGTCTGTTGATTGAGCTAGCTGGGGCCCACTTTACTAAAAAGTGGCAATGGGCGGCGGTTATCAATTAACATCAGGTGAACCGCCAGCCCGTTTGCCATCTTATCCCATAAAAAAAGCATGTGTGTACTTATGTACGCATGTGAGAAGTTAACCTTCTTTGGCGTCAACTTAATGTCTTTACATATGTAAACTTCTTCATCAATTGCATTTAATGTAAAGATATTAAATGCAATTGATGATGTTATTGGTTGCAAAGATTAAATTGGTTACCAAGCAGCATGTCTCTTTTTGACGGTCGGTGTGCGCGCGGTTCGTAATTTTTTTTCCAAACGCTCCAAAAAAATTATAACTTAAAAAGTAAATAAATAAATGCTATAGCGATGAGCTGGATTTTATTAGAGTGCAGTGTTCTTAGCGCATTAATTATGAATGTTGGACAAGTACGGGCCCTTGGACATTTGCCACTGTTCCCACGGAACGCTCCTTTATTCGATGACTAAAGGCTTAATCGATTTTCAGTGTACTCTTGAAGCCTTTACAGAGTACGCGACGATGACATATTTACTAAATTAAATTCCTTTTTTTATAAGTTGGCGGTTCACCTGATGTTAACTGATAACCGCCGCCCTTTGATGTTTTACAACACCCGTAGGGTTGCAGTTGCCATGAATGGGCCCCGGCTACCTCACTCGCCAGACGAAACGCAGAAGTAACACACCTCCACCTCACGCCGGTCTTCTGTGAGGTCGTGGTATTTACCCGGACTTTGCTTAAAACAATTGACAGTTAAATTGTGGGTCCACTTGCCTTTTCTATGATTTGTTAAATGGTAAATCAGTTTTCGCCATAGATCCCTCATTTTTAGGGACGCTCTAAAAATTCAGTGGTAGTTTCGTTTCATCACCGGTTATGGGTCACCTTTAAGTGAGTGGAGCCCTAAAAAAAATCAAATTTAGATTAGTAAGCAATAGTAAACAACTTTCCTTTCATATTTTTTCGCGTTTTACTTTTACCTGCAGTACTTTGTACAAACATGATAACATTAAATATTTACAGAAATCAATAGAAAATAATTTGGGCCAAGGGGTCTACAGTCCTTTGTTGCCCAGAGGCCTCCAGACGTCTAAATCTGGCCCTGCGTTTGAGGGTACAATGGTTAAGTCTACTGTTGAACCCAAGCCTCCCCAAAGACTACCACGAAGCACGATACTGAGCCATTACTCGATCAAGTGGGTGGTAATCTACACTACGATGGCCAATACGAGACTGCCGCTCAAGAACCGTTCTAACCTTCGGTTATCGGCAGCAATATGGCCGGCCCATCGCCACTTCAGCTTACTAATCATCTGAGCTATGTCCGTTACCTTTTTTCTACTGAAAATTAATTGCTTAATACCTCGTTAATGGCTCGCTACGCCTGTTCGTATATTCCGTAATGGCATTTGCAATCGCTATTTAATAAGCCATTGTTCCATTGTTGTGAATTCAACCACTCTTATAATTAAAGACAAAAAATGCATTAGGTTACCAATTTTATATGTTCTATTTGCAAACGGTGAAGGGTTTTTTTGTGTCAAAGAAACACGTGTAAATTCAATTTTTACCGGATTGCCACGGAGGGAAGATAATCTTAGAACATACGTAAGTGGTGTCTATAACAAGGTCTTTATTTAACGAATTGGTCGGCCATAGGTGAAGTGACATTTTATTTGTTGTAAAAGTAAAGAAATGTAAAGTAACAGACTTTACATGACCCACTGTTGGGCAAAGCCCTCGTCTATACAGAGAGTATCAGGGCATAGTTCTTCACGCGGCCCCACTGCGGATTGGCAGACTTCAATTTCTTCGAAATATTCTTTTTGTTATTATTTAGAAGATATGCGGGCTTCCTCAATGTTTTCCTTCACCGTGGAGCGGAGTGATAAACTCAGCACTTAAAATCAACAATTTCATTGGTGCCGCCATCGGGATCGAACTCAGGTAGCTCGAGTATATTGTATTAAAGGCGAGCGCCCGGACACCGAGCTATCGCGGCATATTTGTTGTGGTTATCGTTAAACGTAAAATTTGAACGGTATTATCTTGGGCGGGTTTTATGTTTCTTTACACTCAACGTGACGTAATCGTAACGACAACGTCATCACCTCATATCGTCGCAGCGCTTAATCGAATTTCGAATTATGTTATTAGCGCGACAGTTTTGCGTCGCTTTTTAACCGACTTCAAAAGGAGGAGGTTCTCAATTCGACTGTAACTTTTTACTGAGTGAATTGATTTTGATGATTCTTTTTTTATTTGAAAGCTGGTGCTTCCCATGTGGTCCCTTATTAATCTCATTGGTATTGGATCTCGGGCTCCGGAGATACTTATGGTACTCCTGAACATCAATTATAAAATGTACATAGAGATATTTGAAGTCGGTTTTGTTTTTCGTTAGTAAAAAAAATGTTTATTAATTTTACATTCTCGGTGCAAAGGCAGCCGGCCATTTTGATGACATTAAAAATGAACGACGCCGCGTTGTTACAACCTAATTGCGTTACGAATTAGAATGAAATAGAAAGAAAATAAATGTGCCCGTCCATTAATAATTCGTTTCCATTTAAATGTTCATATTAATGGGTGCTCAGTACGGTTTTTAATCGGAAACTCTAACAATTGAAGTATTTAAAACGTTATACTTTAAAGAAATACCTAAATGGGTAGTTAGTTTTCTATAATCTTATACTATTTTGTGTAATATAATAATATAAACTTTTTATGTAGTTGCAATATGACATGACTTCTATTGCTTAGCAGTGGACTTAAATAGGCTGAAGTTATGATGATGACGACTTCTTTAAACTAAGGTGATGAGTGAGGTGGGGATTCTGATGTTAGGTGATAACCACCACCCATGGACATAGCCCAAACTAGTATCGCTGCCTTGTTGCAGAAAAGCGTGGAGTGGGGACAATATTTTTAAACGGTGCTAACGCAAGTAGCCAATGTAGCAGTAATCACTGAACATCAGGTGAACCAAATTTTCGCATAAAAATAGGATACATGAACCTGAAACATGGTAAACTTGGCTGCGAATAAAAACTCACTAGACCAGAGAATGATAGATGTGCCCTAAGTTCGATTCCTAACAATCGACAATTAGTGTCACGGTTACATTGTCAGTTTGTACTTATGACAGGTGATAAACCCGTTACCGCACGGTGGGCACCAATCATCGTACACCATAAACGTCAATAGCGAAAACACGATAACCGCGCCCCCTAACGACCCAATTACAACAATAGTATATATAACAGATAGCCGCAAAAAACGGGTGACCTTTACTAACGTTCAAGTAAACAATCGTAGAGTCTTGTAAACACGTTTTTTTCTGTCCATTGCGCCCTTGTTTGCAATACGCGACCCTGATAGGGCTTATCAGTATCATACTGGTCACACTCGTGTGCTAACACAAGCCTCGCCCGCGGTTGCACCTAAATGAACAAATATAAGCCGAACAGCTTATGTTTCGTAATAAGGGTCATATAATCACCTTACTCATAGCTCAGAAGATTAGCAAGCAAGTGGTGATAGGCCTACCATATAGTGTATTGTATTGTGTGTGAAAGAGGTGGGTCGAGAAAGGTAAGTCCCGCCGATCACTAGACTAAGGAAGATCTATTGAAGTCTTGGCTTCGACAACAATGCTGTAAGATAACATTATCATGTGTTTTAAGGACGTTTTACGCACATAAATTTGACGTGGGCGAACACCCAGATGCGAAACAATTATCTGTGGGTCACGCAAATAGTTCTCTTGTGTGGGAATCGAACCTACGACCTCCGGCGCCGAAGCCAATACCTTGGTGACAACGCCACGGAGTCATCCATCTCGGGAGTCGTGGGACAAACTCCATAAATAACAACGGATTATTTTCAGTTCATTTTATTAGTCTGATTGCGAAGTGCATTACCCGACTACCGCAATAAGGTAAACAACTTCCGTATCCTTTTTATAAACACCCGGACACTGTAAAAACACTATGTTCATCACACAATATTCTCCCAGCAGTGGAGATCGAACTCACACCCGCGCGAGCACATGGGGCAGCTTCACTACCCACTACGCCACTCAGATCGTTAATAGAAACAAGCCAAGTGCGAGTCGGACTCGTGCACAACGGGTTCCGTACCATTATCTATAAAAACGGCAAAGAAATAATGTTGTATGGGGGTAAGAGGGGCTTCTTAAATATTTTTTCATTCTGTTTTTTGTATGTGCTATTATAGCGGCAACAGAAATACATCGTCTATGTAACTGTCTTGTTATCACGTTTCAAGAGATTCAGCCAGACATATAGACAGACAGCCGAGCATTAGTATTAGGGTCCCATTTTACCCTTTCGGTAAGAACCCGAAAAAGGTGTTTATTTTGTACTAGCAACGTTGTCTGTCATTCGATACAGTTGTCCGCCAGCGATTAGGTGCGTGCATAATGCTAAACGGGCTATTTTCAACACCGGCAGAATGGCTAACTAAGGACAACCAGAAATGCGTCGGACGGCATACCAATTAGTCTCTTTAGGTGCGCTCGACGCCGCAAATGGGATTTTCTATTCTTTTTAGAACCGAGAGGAACTTCGGACGAGCGCAGTCACAATAGCCATTCGCGGCGCGGATAAATTGAATTGAATCTATTCGCGGAGAAGATTGTTGGAATTATCATTGTCCTGATCTACTTACGAGTTAATTAACTGCAACTCTTTGCCTTTCTAGAGCATTCCCAGTTTTGGATAATTTATTCGAAATGTATAAATCGTCATAAGAACTATGGTAGGGCCACGCAGCAGCCTCGGCTGTTACACGAATGGGCAGGCTCGTCCGGGTAAGTGCCACGACCTCACAGAAGACCGGCGTAAAGTGGGAGTGTTGTACTTTGCATTTCGTCTGGTGAGGGAGCTGCCTTTTAAGTAAAGAAGTGCCAATGGGCGGCGGTTATCATTTGACATCAGGAGAAACGCCAGCCCGTTTGCCATCTTAAAAAAATAGGACTGTGCGAATATTATACAGTGAGGTCGTTATGAATATTTATTATTTATGTTAAGGTTAAAAAACTTCTAGAAATAGGAAGTTCTCAATTCGGTTGTTTGTTTTCTCTTTTATGTTTGTTACCTCAGAACTCCGTCATTGACGAACCGATTTTGCAAATTCTTTTTGCGTTAGTGTCTATTTAACTACAAGGGAGTTAAGTCGTTATATATCATATTCGGATAATTGACTACAGATGGTAGATCGGAGAACACCTCAATATTAAATAAAGAAGTACTTAATACCACAGTAACTGCACATTTTCTGTTTCAAGCAAATGTGCAGTTACTGTGGTACGTCCACGCAACAGTGTTCGCTGTTGCACGAATGGGCAGGTCCGTCCGGGTTAGTACCACGACCTCACGGAAGACCGGCGTGAAGTGGAAGTGTTACACTTCTACGTTTCGTTTGGTGAGTGAGGTAGCCGTGGCAGACTTTATTAAACTGCAACCCTACGGATGTTGCAAATGTCCATGAGTGGCGGTTATCAGTTAACCTCAGGTGAACCGCCGGCTAGTTTGCCACTTTGTCTCATAAAAAAAGTTATTTGAAGTCGTTTTTTTTTTTGGTTAATGAAAAACGTACTTTGTGTATATGCGAAAAGTTCGTGGACGAACGTGGACGAGTGGTAGGTTCATTTAACGTTAAGCGATTATCGCCGTCCATTTACACATCCACCATAGCTTGTAGATGCGGATCGGAAAGTGGGCCCCAGCTAAAGTATAATGATTTTATTATTCTTTTGCGTTTCGTCTGGTGATTGGGGTATTACAACGGCCTGTGCGGGCGTTGCTTCCCCGCTCAAGCCAACCCATTATGCAACAGCAAATGCTGATACAATCCTACCATCGTAAAGCGAAAAACCCTTCATTGCTTTATTGTTTTTATTTAAATCCAGATCTCAGATTTCTCAGCTTAGAGAAGATTATAACGCTTTATATTTTAGGTGATTATATTGCCATTACATCGATATATAGAGATCAGAACTCATTGAAGGAAGAAATTCTTCAAGCGATTCCAGCATTGCTTGCGCCTGTACCCGAGGTGCACCACCTGTGGCTTCGTAAATTTAGCGTATTCCCCTCTCACTCGCACCCGCCGCGGCCCACGTCGCAGCTGTCCCGCTCCCTCGTGTTTTCACAAATAAGTTGCATCCGAAAACAACATAGAAAACCTCACCGTCTTCGCAGGAGATTCCGGTGTTTAAGGTCAGTGTTTAAGGTCCATTTTCGCGTGGGATTTCATCGGCTGAAAACCCTTTGTTAACCTCCACAGAAAGTTCCAGAGTAGGAAACACAACCGCGTTGTAGCCTCCGATTGTAATATGACGCGATTTCAAGTAATAGGGACGTGACCATGTCCGCGCGGCGTCGATAAGTTTATCGTGGCGCCGTTTCGATAAATTTATTTCTTTATCACATCTTTTATATATCGTTAACAATTTTTAACAAAAAAAAATCGACTTATAACCGGAAAATAAAAACTATTGTTAATACCAATAACACCATCTGAGGATAGCCCTCGATTTCTCTAGGATGCCATCATTAGATCCGGGTTTCCTTATCATGTTACCACCCTTGAGATATTTTCTTTTCCAACAAAAAATAATCATCGAAATCAGTTCATAAACGACGAAGTTATCCGCGAACACATAAACAAAATATAAATATACGGTCGAATTAAGAAAACTCCTTCTTTGTGAAGTCGGTTAAAAATCGTTGTGATTGGCAAAGAAGTAGCTGTATGCACGATAAGTCTTTTTAATGAAAGCGTTTCCTGTGATGATAAATTTCGATGAAAACACGACTCAAATGAGCGATACAAAGAACGCACTACGTTAAACTTATAACTCCGCACAACTGTACTTTTCGGATAATACCAAATTATTGTATTATGCGACTAAAATTAATCGTCGCCTAACAATAAGTTATTGTAATGATAAGGGATAGACTCATTTATTTGCACCGACATAAATAGGTAAATAATTATCTTATAGAATATTCAAGACAAACGAAACTAAGGCTACGAGTGACATGCATATCAAATTATGAATGTATACAAAGTGTATTTGTACACCGATTTACATTCCGCCTTGACTTATATAAAAAAGTAGTGAAATATGTTTGTTTGTTCGTCTTTTGGTAAAAACATTCACTCTACGTCATCTATTTTCTCCTTGAGTAAAACAGAGTGTTATATATTTAAGTAAAGGTATTCTCAAGCTAGCTTAATACCTATTTGTAGAACAAATTAAGAAAACTCACAAATTGTAAAAGCAAATATAGCACAAATCGGACAAAAATGTTTCTTCTCTCGGTAGAACCAAAATGGATACCTAATTAAATGATATATTTTTTTTATTCTAATACAGATTATGGTGAATGTTAACAGCATTTACGTACCACATAAAGTAAGCAAGATGGCAAGCCAGTAAGTATAATTGCAGACAAAAAATGGAATAAATTTCGAATAGGTTAGTAATAATGGCTATCAATGAATACGGGTTATATCGAATCTTTAATGTATCTCACAGCGATATCGACGTCTCTATTCGGTTAACCGCCGCTCGGGTAATCCCCGAACTGCCGTAGCAATTTTCTGCTACGTAATTCGGGAGCGCTACGGTTTGCGCTACGGAACTCTGACGACTTGGCAAGTAAAACTGCGAGCTTACTGCCTCGAATTAGGTGACTGCCTAACCTGTATGCATACAAACTTGATTAGATAATCAACAAACTGATATTTATAATGTAACGGTAACGCTACAAATAAATAATTTAATATTATTGGTAGCAGTAAAGAGTAGTGTAATGTTATATTTAAAAAAATGGAACACATCAGAAAATTGAATTCCCTTATCAGTTTTTTGTATCTGTTTAAACTGTAGTTTTTTTTAATATTAAATTTCATATGTATTGTTATCATAACGACAATCGTTTATCTAACCTCGTACCACTTAAGTTTTGACGTGAGTTTAGATTACATTTCATACTAAAAATGAAATGTTCTATCGCCCAAGGTAATGGGGGCATAAACATTTTCGTTAAGCAACAAAACGTTTATATAATAGACGCTAAGCTTTTAAATAACGTTATTTATTCAATTAGCCTAATGCGCTTGGCATGTGCAAGTTTCTTAATAACATTATTATTGTTGCTTCCGCGGCGGTAGGGTGACGATGAGTGGCTGAACCTGGGATCGGATATTTATCCTTGGTAATATTATAAAGGCGAAAGTTTGTATGTATGGATGGATGTTTGTTACTCTTTCACGCAAATACTACTGAATGGATTTTAATGAAACTTTGCAATAATAATGCTTATACATCAGAATTAGACATAGGCTATAATTTATATACATATTTTGTGTATATCTATCTGTCTTTCTTTCCGAATATCACGCCTTCAGCCTATTCTACGCAGACGTATTCGCAGGCAGCAGCTACTTTATTGTAATAAATAAAGTAACAGCCTGCATATGGCCCACTCTGTGTAGAGGTTATTAGGACATAGGTCATTGATTAAAGCAAAATAAACGTTTATACACTGCAGTGTCATCCCGAGGTCAACCTCGTGCTTGACATGAAACTTCCAAATAACTGTGTCATTACATATCATTCATCATTACACAGTATAAAACAAAGTTGTCTCGCTGTCTGTCTGTCACTATGTATGCTTAGATCTTTAAAACTACGCAACGGATCGTTATGCGGTTTTTTTACTAGATAGAGTGATTCAAGAGGAAGGTTTATATGTATAATACATTGTACCCGTGCGAAGCCGGGGCGGGTCGCTAGTTAGTAATCTGCCTAAACTTTCAGTGTCCTGTTGGCTTCTTTGATTTATTGAATAAAAAAATTAAAAAAATTAAATTTATTGATTCAAATTTATTGAATAAATGGCCAGTATATGTTATTATCTAATACAATACAAGAATGTTAACCACTCGAAGATTCAGCTTCAAACAATCCGCGTTTTCATCTCGTATTTTCAACCGGCTTAAAAAAGGCGGAGGTTCTCAATTCGACTCTATTTTTTTATATTTGTTACCGATTATACCGAAATTTTGATGATTCTTTTTTATTTGAAAGCTGGTGCTTCCCATGTAGTCTCATATTAATTTCATTGGTATTGGATCTTGGGCCCCGAAAATACTTAGGAAACTCCTGAAAATCAATTATAAAATGAATACAGAGCGAGAAATTTGAAGTTGGTTTTGTTTTTCATTAATAAAAAAATCGACTTGGTCAGACTATCCCGTTATATTCAAAACTTGTGGTGCCCCTGCGTAACATCTTTACACGCAAACCGCTGTTTCGCGCGGCTTTGACCTCTCTCGATTCTCGCTCCCGCATAACTCACATTTGTCCCAAAGCGAATGCGCCCAAGTGAAAGTGTAGCCAGTGACCTTAGAAACTCATGGTCATAACCATTCTCGTTTACCGGAACAATATCCGTCTTTGGGGTCCCGTTTCAAACTTTCATCCAGCGCGTACTCGTCACATCAGTTTGGTTCAAAGGTACATATTTAAAAATGAAACATCACTTGATTTATTTAATAAATTTTCGAGTTGAAAATGAATTACAAAAGCATACATACGAGTGCAGATTAGCGGTTATTATTTTCAATTTCTTCGTCCGTGAAAAATGTCGTTAACACGTTAAAAATAACGACTGCTCGTTAATAATGACGCACGCTAAAATCACAACCGGCACGAACCAGTCAAATGTACGCTCAACGCCAATCGTATGAAACTCAACACGCATCTTTGAGTACATATACCTAAAAAGTTATCTAACTCGTCGAACGCGTCGCATTTGCAGTCAACCTTAACTTTTTAGCCGCTAACACAAAGGCCAATGTTTGCTCGGCTTATCAGCGACGCGGGCGCCATTCCGGGCGATAATAGATAGGCGCGCATCAAAACAAAATGGCCGCCGAACCGATATCTAACGTGGTAACAGCCGTTGGCCTAGACAATTCGCTAGGAAGCGAGTTTTGACATTGCGCGCGACCTTGCCGCCGCGCTCGCTGATTGGCCGCCGCGGGCAAGATGGCGACGCGCGCGCAACGTGTCATCCTTTCCCGCCAATTAGGCGGCCGGTTTGGGTGCGTTTTTCAAATGCCCTAATGCGAATTCGTTTAATGGGCTCATTTGCATTGCAGCAGCCGCGCTCGGTCGAGCGTTGCGCCGTTGTTTTTGCAAATCGATTCGCCGTCTATGGTCACGTATTGACTCCGCAGACCCGAGTAACTAGATTCAATTTATATGTTTTTTGTGCGTGCGGAACGCTCCGATCGGAAATTGTACTTAGATTGATGGGCATCCATCGTTTTATTTATTTGTTTGTCGTTTCGTGTTTCCTAGGAAGCACGCATGAGTGCTCCCCACAAAAACACGTGATGCATGAATGGTTTGCGAGTTGACTACACATTTAATGCGCTGAAAAAGATCCAATTAAACTGGAACTTCACAAACATGGCAATAGTTAATCTTTTGTTAGCAACACACTGTGCTAGGTATCGAAGAAACTTAACCTATTGAACATACGGAGTAATCGGATCACGAGGCTACCAAAGCATTGCGAAATAAAATAATCAATTTCAATTTAACTTGCGCGAAATGTGTTCGCTTCGTTTCATAAAGCGGTCTATTGTGGAACAGCGTATGGTAAACTTTCGAGGCGGTAGAGCGCTTGCAGCGGGTTCGAATTAGTTTACAAGATTTCACTAACCGACCGACTGACGTACAAACAAGTGAACTTCAATAAAAGCCCGTAAAACTCCCGTAGCATTTGTTAAATATTCCGATATCGGAAATGTATACCTCACAAGTGGTTGTGTTAAACTTTGTTAGCGTTATTCGAAGTATCGACATTTCTACTTCGCCGAACACATATTAAGTTAAAGACACAATGATACACATTCGAGAATATCGGTGAGATCAGATCAATGGCAAAATCCATTGCCTGCTTTGTTACGACTTTATCAATATGGTGAATTAACCAAGTTTCGATGCACGAGACAAGGCAATTTATAATATAGTTTTTGAGGTCGATGAAGAGCAACTTTGACTTTAATATTATCATTATGTAATCAAGGAAATAGTAATGGCCTAATTGTCTGAAACATGACTAGCAGTATATAACTATTTATATGATGCGTCAGATGCGTGGCTACCTTTAAATCGAGTGTACCCTCACTCACCAGACGAAACGCAGAACTATCATCATCATCATGATTTCAGGCTGTTTGAGTCCACTGCTGAACATAGGCCTCCCCCAATGACTGCCACGAAGTACGATCCTGAGTCACCGGCATTATTATAACATAAAACTACCACTTCACGGCGGTCTTCTGTAATGGCGTGATACTTCCTCGGATGGACCTGCACATTCTTGCAACAACGAAGACTGTTGCGTGGCACTAACACAGTAACGGTTGTTGGGTTATGCATCTTCTAACTCCGTGGATAAAAGCAGGTTGCATTAGGAAGGTGTGGTCACAGGCGTAAAGCTGTAAGATATCTTCTGAGGGAATTTAATAAATATACCAACGCCCTCAGTGGAAACTGTCTCTTTATAATTCACCTCGAGGAGTTTAATAGCAGAGCCAAACGACAAGAGGGGGGAGGGAGTGGTTGAAAAAAGGCGCGGGCAAGGTGCATCACTTTACGCTCAAAGCGTCTCTAGAAATTGAAGAGAATTTGCGAGACTGTCCGAGAGGTATCCGGGCCAGTTTCGAATACTTTCGCACATAGTGGCAAACAAATATTATTAGAATATTAGATAGCAAATATTATTATGTAGTCGGATCTACAAATATTAGTTCGCGACGGATTCTGGCTTTTATTCTTTATCCTTTCATCTGCTAACGCTTTCATCGAAACATAAAATGGTGTCCTGTCCACTCTAAGTATAGTTATTAACGACCAATGATTGACTGACCCATTCATGCTAATTATTCATTGTACCGCAGTAGATTAAGCCATTTTTCTTAAACTTTGCCCTTACTTTAAGATTACATTATCCTGTGTAGTAAAGACGGTGTAGAAACATACATTTCACTTTCACATACAACCAGATCCGAAAGAAATATGTGTGAGTCACATAAAATAGTTGTCCCGTGCGGAAATCAAACGCACGACCCCCGGTGCCGGAGCCAATACTTTGAAAACTGCGCCACGGAGCCATCAAGGAAAGTTGAGCCAAGCCAAGACACGACTATCTATAGATATATAAAACTAACGGACCGGGCTGCCGTTGTCCTGTACACATGACTTAAAACCGATAACTTAAAAAAAATTGTGAATCTAAACCATTCTCGAATCGACATGAAGACACACAAAAATTTTCATTAAAATCAATCAGTTTAGGAGGACTTCAGTGTCATACACACGTACAGTAGAATTGTATATAAATATATAAGATTATCTTGTCACAATGTTGGTTGCCATAATGTATGTTACAGATCATTATAAGTCCAACTATTCCAAATGAGCGAGGATACCACATGACATGATTTTGACAGCAAGTTTAAAATTAAAAATTTTGCGTGTACTTGCGTTTTAATGAGTTGTATTGGCTTTATATTAAGAAAGATTGCTTAAAAGACTTAGCGATAACTTTAAATTTCGATTACCGATTGTGACGTGATAAACGTCATCGCGATCACGATGTCAGACAGATAAGCATCAACATTAGTGGAAACTTCATCACAACTAGCTATTAAATCACATTAATGACCACCCCTCAACGGAGATTACGAGTTTTTGCAGATTGACTGTGTATTTTTATGTGAAAAGATGCCAAGCGACCTGACTGGCTGTAGTAAAACAAGTAAAGTAAAGTATCAGCCTATACATGTCCCACTGCTGGGTAAAGGCCTCCTCTATATAGAGGGTATCAGGGCATATTCCACCACGCGGCCCCACTGCGGATTGGTGGACTTCACATATCTTCGAAATATTTTCTTTTGTTATTATTTCGAAAATATGCAGGTTTCCTCACGATGTTTTCCTTCACCGCTGAGCACGTGATAATTCGGCACTTAAAATTGACAATTTCATTGGTGCCGGCACCGGGGATTGAACTCAGGTTGCTCGAGTATATTGAATTAAAGGCGAGCGCCCGGACACTGAGCTATCACGACTGGCTGTAGATTAATTGCCAAACATTTAAAAAATCGGCCCCGGTCACCTCACGCACCAGACAAAACGCAAAAAAAGTATAAAATTATACTTCCACATGTACAATAAATACGTCTCTATGAAATTATTTAAGCAATATACCAGGAAAATAGTTTCATCAAGCATGTTTAAAAATCACTTGAGAACAAGAAATCAACGTCACTAATTAAAACGTAAACTAAAGAATCCCTAATCCCTAGTCGTAGACACGGAACTTATCAATATCTTCAATTATAATTATTACTTCAAGTGCATTCTTATCTTTCTCGTCTTCGTGTATCATAACCTAGATGCGTCTCAGCTGTCGCCTAATAGCCCAAAAGCTGTTCAGCAAAAGCGCCCAGTCGGGGTATTCCCGGCGCGTACTCCACGATTCTCGGGCTGGCGCCGCGCCAGACGCTCATTGGGTCACGGGATCACCATATGGTCCACGCAGCGTGGCCGAGCCCCGGGAACAAGGTGGCCAGTCCCTCGCCAATACACGCCAAACCCGTTAATTAATTATAGCCGCGTAATAAGCAAAGACCGGGGGACGTGAAAATTGATAACGGGCGGCCCTGGCGAGCCCCCACTATTGATCGGGCCCCGAACCACCCCCAGTATATAGGTATAAAAAGCGTAACAAATTTTCGTCTTAAGAAAAGGAAAAGAAAAAATGTATACAGCCACCCTTTCGCTGGGGAGTGGGGTGCGCCCCCCGCTGCGGGGGGGTGACGTGGGGGGAGGGGGGGTGCGAGTGCATTTTTCTCGTGGACCCTCACCCGCCCCGGACGAACGTAAGATGTTACAAAGGATTCTTTGTTGGTGCAACGGTTAATTAGATTTTGGATGTGCCCGCATTTCGGATTCGTTTCCAACAAAGTCGAACTTTCTGGAATCCCTTTGGAATATTCGATACGCTACGTTCACTTTGACGTCGCGTTACGAAAGCAATAATTGAATTAGGGATGCAGATAATTAAATACGTATTAAAGCGGTTTTAATAAGGCGAAAACCTCTTTGATTAACAAGACATTTATTTGGTATAGGTTTCGTTAGTTTATAATCAATACGTGACTAATTTTTTCTAAACGACCGGAGAGATCGCACGTTTGGTAAAAATTATCACGTTTCAGACGGGTCATTGAACTCGGCGCGTTCCTCTACTGTGCTAGTTCGATCTTTAGAGAGATCTAAACATTTACACCTAAAAAAACTCGACAGACGTTATCCTGTAAACACGGCTGAAATCCGAACACCTCTGATAAATAAAAAAAAATGAAAAAAACATGTGGACCGAATTGTGAATCTAAATAATTTTCGAATCGACCTGAACACACAAAAAAAGTTCATTAAAATCGGACCCGTTTATGAGGAGTTCAGTGACATATATATATATATATATATATATATATATATATACATGAATAGAATATTGGAGCCTCATCTTACTTATTAAAGACATCGTTTCTTACGGCTTAAGAAACTTGCTAAGTAAACCATGGCTTCGTGGTGGTGTGGATGAGAATATTTTTAAAATTCTCACAACATATTATCCTCCTAGTACGTAATTAGTTCTCGTACAAATTTAGAACTAACATCTGTCTCATCCGAAATATCTTCTAGTCAAAACACTTCACTTGCTGTATAAAGGGCGCTCGGTACTGAGCCACCGTGCATCTATTTCAGAGATGATAAATTTAGAAACCTCTTTAATATGAGCAATGTTCATTACACTCAGCCAACAGACTTAAACTAATAAAAAACCGGTCAAGTGCGAAGCGGACTCGCGCACGAAGAGTTCCGTACCATAATCAATAAAAATGGCAGGTAACATGTCTGTTGTATGGGAGCCAACTTACATATTTTTTATTCTGTGTTTAGTATTATTTGTTATAGCGGCAACAGAAATGCATAATCTGTGAAAATTTCAACTGTCTAACTAACACAATTCATATGATACAGACTGTTGACAGACGGACAGAGAGACAGCGGAGTCTTAGTAATAAGGTCCCGTTCTACCCTTTGGTTACGGAACCCTAAAAACGACTAACAAGAACGGCAGCAGGTTATTGTAATCTCAAGTGTTGTACCTAATTAATACGATAGCTAATATAAATACATCGCGATTGTAAAAAATACGATTCGTTTTCCCACCTCTACTCGGTAATGTCTTTTTTTGATTCGCTTTTATTTTATCGGTTCAGAAATTTTTCCTTTTCCCGTTCATATTAAAAAACCTCTTCATAATAAGTCGAAGCGGACAAAGGCACCTTAATCAATGGTCCACTTGCTAAACTATGGTCAGAACTTGACTTCCCGTGAAACTTTTTTATTCTTATTTTCGACCTGGTTCAGTAAAAGGAAGCGATGAGACAAAGCCTGTCTAGAAAAGGCCTACATTCTTTAACTGTCGGGGATAAAACTTTTGTCTTTTTAGAACGTTTTGTGCCTTCATATTATTTTAAGTTCCATTTTTAACAATCGCTCGAAGCTCGCAATTAGGTGCGTTTTACGCTTACTCGCGCGATTCATTCGTGCGAATAGCCATCGAGATTACGAACGAAACTCTCGCCGAAAAACTTCAGGATTTTTCGAAAAATTTGAACGATCCAGTTCTGCGCTATATTCGGAATAAGTCTCGCGTTTCATGTTTCTTTTAGCGTAACAAGCTCGCCCCTATAACGTAAGGTTTAATTCGCGATAACGTTCGGCGACGCAGTCGAAGCGGAATCAATCTTCCAAACGGCATTGCTAATAAATAGAAATTATTATAACCCCGGCTTCCATCCACAAAGTGCCGGTAGCGTAAATCAGGGCGGCGGGCGCAAAAGGAGCGGATGGAGACGGAAAAAAATAAGTTAGCGCATGTTACTACAAGGAGCGCGCAAACCACCCAATATCCTCTCCGCCTCTAAAATATTCAGAAAGACCACAAAATTCAATTTGCACGTTCAGAAAATGCTCTCCTTACTCCAGACGTACAAAATGAAAACACGCCTCGGAAAAAACCCGGGCACGGGGGGGGTGTTTTGCACCAGGAATTAAACTTGGGGGGGCGGCGGGGTGGGAAGAAATGTGGGGAAGACGCTGGATGATTAATTATTAGTTTGTGTGTGTTCCGAAGATAGCATCCTATGGTTCGGGCGGGGTTGTGTGCCCAATAGTGTGGGGTGGCCGACGAGCCGTGGTCCAGTACCTATATGTTTTCAACGAATTATATAAGTAATTAAACATGTTAATGATGCTTTTTTCTCCCTTTGATGCTCATACGTTTCTCTGTCTGCTAATTAATTGACGCTTTGAAGTCGCATGCACGTTCATATTCCATTAGTTTTTAACGGTGATATCGGACTATTCTATTTAGGGCATGTCAACCTTTATATAGGGATGGTTCGTAACTAATTAACTAACTTCAAAGTTAGTTGTTACGATGTTTTAACCTTAATTCTGTTGGTTCGAACACTTCATGGTTTTAATTTTAATTCTGATCTAAAATGTAAATGTGTAAATCAATAGAAAGTTGAAGTTAAGAAACGTTTTATTTAATTTTATACCACATACAATGCATATTGCATTATAACTTTTTTTCTTAGCGAGTCCCTGAAAATACGGTCTGTGTTATTTGGTCTGTAGGAATTAATATCTTTCGCCTTTCTGACGTCACGAAAAGCAAAGAAAACGTGCCTTGAAATGCCATTCTCCACGTGCCAAATAAGAAATACAAACGAAATAAATAACTTAATGGTGAACTTAGTAAATCAATGAATAACCGTTATATATATATTTATATTGCGCTTTGAAGATTGCCGTGATAGCCGTGATAGCTCAGTGTCCGGGCGCTCGCCTTTAATTCAATACACTCGAGCAACCCGAGTTCGATCCCCGGTGCCGGCACCAATGAAGTTTTTAACTTTAAGTGCTGACTTATCACGTGCTCCGCGGTGAAGGAAAACATCGTGAGGAAACCTGCATATTTTCGAAATAAGAACAAAATATATATATATATATTTCGAAAACATGTGAAGTCCGCCAATCCGCAGTGGGGCCGCGTGGTGGACTATGCCCTGATACCCTCTGTATAGAGGAGGCCTTTACCCAGCAGTGGGACATGTATAGGCTGTTACTTTACTTTTACTTTTTTTTTGAAGATTTTTCAATCTAAATATCATCCAATGTTAACTGAACCAAATATCAATATTTTTAAAACTTGCTAGCATTATTAGATTTTTTTTGTATATAAACTCGGTGTAGAGATTATCTTGGATAAATTACTTTTGTCTCTCAATATACATTTCATTTCAATATACATTATATTTAATATATTATATTTAATATGAATGAATACTCAAATTATATTATGAACAAGCGCACAATAAAATTTTGGGAGCACCACAGCTGATCCGTTATTCAAGTACTAGGCACACATAAAAGCGAGGAAGTATAGAGGCCACGCAAAATATGATATGGGGACGCGTTCAAACCGAACGAACCGAGTACAAAGCGACCTCTAGCTACACGCGGATATGCCTCGTGTAATTTAGGGTTGTGATTTTAATTTCACTCGAGTCTAAACGACGTCCGCCAGATGTAAGGAAACGTTTATAGTATAAGTGTTGCTTTGAAACGGTGTTTTTAACGTTCATTATTGCGCGGAGAGTTGGTTAGAGAGAGTTTCTTCCGTAAACCCGAAGGTGCACACGGCATTTGTAAAATGTTAAATTCGCAACAAGGCAAGAACAACGCGCGGCCAAGAGTTATTAAGTTTTATAAAGGTCGATGAAACGTATGCTTGCGTAAAAAAATCTATATTGAAATTTCTAAAATTTGTATAATACAGGATGGCAAAAGGATGCTTTAACCGCTATGAACGGCGAAATATCGGTCTGGGTGGAAATCTGAAAGACGTGGGTTCGATTTCCGTAGCGGCGAAAACTTCATAATTTCTTCTACAAATTATAATATTCCATTTTAAGTGCAGAGAATAAGCACGATAAAATTTAAATTCATGTAATAAAATATCCAAATTAGTACCTAACTATTGAAAAAGATAAGGATAGATTTTTCTACTTAGCACGGTTGCAGTCATGATTACACTTACCAGGAACTCATAAACGTAAGGCACCCCACAAAAAAGACGTAAGTAGTAAGACGTTTACATCGAAGAAGGTTTAATAGGTTTTAATAAAGATTTCATATTCCGATTGAAATAATGAGATCGGACGGTGTGCACACCGCCTTCGCGCTCTCAGTGCCAACGTTTTGTCTTTTTCGCGGCTTCAATTTAAAATTTTATTTCCCGCTTGACCCAAAGGGGTTGGGGGTGGCGGGAGACACTCATTATGACCAATTTCACCACCCCCACCGTTTTCCCCACCATTGTTGGAGTGATGGCTCATTTCTGTCTCCCATTGAAGTTTTTGCCGGGGTCCCGCGAGGAAGGCTCGGGGACGAGGATATGGGTCTTTTTTCTCACCACTGCCGCTGGCGGGGACACCGAGAAATGCGCCGAATTATCGGATCGCGGCAGTGTTGGGGTTATGGTGGTATTTTTAAGAGACACCCGAGCTAATTTACTATTTGTATTTTGTGGGGACCTAGAATATCTATTGTAATCTTCTCTTCGAAGATAGCCCCTTACTGTAGTATAACACTATCCTGTTTTGTAAGGGCGTTTTACGTACATATTTCACGTACGTAGTGCACCGAGATCGGAAAGAATTATCTGTGGGACACTGAAATAGTTGTCTAGTGTGGGAATCGAACCCACGACGGGTTCGATTCCCACACGGGGCAACTATTTGTGTGACCCACGGATAATTGTTTCGCATCTGGGTGTTTGTCCGCGTGAAATTTATGTTTGTAAAACGTCCTTACAACACAGGATAATGTTATCCTAAAGTAAGGGAAATGTTTTTAAAAGAAATAAAAAAAAAATTGTTTTGTATGGCACAATATTAATTTACAAGTTTTATTTCTTATATCCCTTTCACTAATTTTAATAATTAACGGAAGATTTTTTTTAATATGAAAAGTTCCTAAGCGAGCAGACGGTTCACCTGATGTTAAGTGAATACCACCGCTCATAGACATCTACTACACCCGAAGGTTTGTAGATGTGTTGACAACCTAAAGATCAAGATTATTTAAAACTGACCGCTCCATGATCGTAATTGAGGTTCCTACCATTAGCCTGGCTGAAACACCTACGTACATACAGTATATGTACATATATAACAATTCAAAATATCATAGCCAAACGTTTACGCGATCCTACTTAAAAAGATCCCTCATATAACTAACTACTCGAAGGAAATACCCACCCTTATATAAATTATTTACATTTCTTGAAAAAAAAAAAATGGTGTAAATCATTAAGAAATAAAGCTTTGTCATCGTATTTGTTTATCATAATTCTATCCAAGCATATTAATCAATTGATTGATTATTGTTGCTATAATTATAAAAAAATAGTGTAACATGCACGAATGCATTACACCCTCCCCTATGTGTTGTACCTAAAGAAACCAATCACGACCAAAAATTAAAAAGAAAGAAAATTTATTCCTTAATAACAATAATCAGAGTAGATTTACGAGGTATGAACGCAATCTAATTATACTTCTACGGCTTACTTAGCTCAGTTTTCGATCCTGTGCTATTTTAAGTAACGTCCAACCTAACGTGGATCCAACTAGATTCGCTAAGAACGGACAAATCAGCCAAAAAAAAATTAAGGTCAAGCTTCCCTTACCCAGGCCAATTTAATGTGCTCCGCTGTATTGATTCCCCGGCATTCTTTCACACAGGCGCGGAGGAGAACCCCCACTGCACCCACCCCCATGCCCCCCCCCCTCCCCCCTCCACCGGAACTTGGGATAAACGGGTATAAGATTTTTTCGGGGCCTCCATCCTACCAAGTGATTGAGACTGTATGCAGCAGACGCAATTAGTGAATACAGGCATCGTACAAAAAGAGCTGGCAGGTTGACTTTTAATTATAAAGCGACGAAACAAAAAAACCAAACGAAATAGAAACGTACACATTCCTGAGTCAAAAAGCTCCGTTAATACAAGCGTATCAGGCATAAACGTAGAAGGCGAAATTCGAAAATGGAACGTCCATTCTCCCCTCGGTGCGAAAATTCGAACGTAGAAACATCGCCAAATCCAAACGTAATCGGCTAAACGTCGGACTTTCATGCAGCCTCTGCGTGGCCGTCCACGTGGCTTTAATAAACTTGTTTCAACTCCAACCGACGGCGCTGCGCCAAAACTACTGAACGATCAACAAAAACAAAGGCCGTGGCGCGAGCAACAGGTATTCCAACCTACAATAAATATACGGCCATAATACACGTGCACTGCGAACTAACTTTGAACGACCCACAGATAAGGCGAATCCAGCTCTGAAACTTCCAACATTAGCCGGTGGCGTAAAAGATAGACGTTATCGTTTCTACTCTGTGGCGATATATGAGAGGCGGTATTCAAATGAAATTCCAGCGATTCGGAAGGGATTCCAAATTTAAATTCAGACGCGGAGCTGCGTTAAAAAAACAAGTGGAGGCTTTGAATTTTAAAAAATGTTCATTGGACGTTTAAATGTTTGTGGTGCGGAGGAATCGCTACTTTATTATAATAGTTTTTTTTTTTTTTTTTTATGGTGAACCTATTGAGGCTGGCTTAACTAACGTTAGTTAACCCAGCCACAATGAGATGAGGCCAGTGTCGACGTAACAAACTTCTGGCCTATTGAATTTTCGCCTACAAAAGGAAAGTTTCCAGGAAACGTTCCTCGGGTTGCCGGCTCCGCTGTTTCGTTTCGAAACGTAAAACATTTAAAGCGTAACTTTGACGAAATTGTTAAACGCGGGTGGGTGCATTCGATTAAAGTTTTAACTGGCGAGCGGGGCGCTTTTGTGGACACTATTTCGCCGATTTAGTTCTCAATTAAATGTTTCTGTCAGCGGTGTTACCCCTCCGATGAACATATATTTCGAGTATCGAGAACTCTTGACCAGCCCGGCCAAAACGAACATCGAAATAAGCATTAATTACGGACGCCGAACTCACCCGATGAATAAGAGAAAAAAATTATATGTGCACACGCAACACGAGCCACCTTCGAAATGTGTTTCGAACTAATTAAAAACATCAATTCTGCGCGCCACCGTGCGGGGGAATATTTCAAATACACGCACACACGCGAACCGACCCCCGTGCACACAGGGGCACGTTAGACGCACACAACAGTTAAAAATAAGTCCCGGGCCATATCCGCGTGAGAGAATGGTCCTCGCAATGATCTGAAGCAGAACCTCGTAACTGGCAACATCGAGTTTTCCCTTAAATTAGAGCTCTCGCCACGAAATTCGGTTTTTGTTTCATATGGAGATATTAAAGCATGCATTTTCACTACATTTTATATATCAGACAAGTTATAATAACTCATCTATTAAGGTACTTCTATTATGACGTCATTCTTCTAGTATTTTCCTATTTAATGCAGAAGTTCGATTGTATTTTACCAATTTATTCTTTGCGTTTGTTGGATCATTTTTTGGTTTACATAAGTACTATGTAAAGCTTAAGACAGTACACAGAAATATTAAAGTCATTGACCAAACTTGCTGGCTAAGCAGTCTAAAAGACCGCAGTTTACATTGAAAATATTCGCCGTTACTGTATTCTGCGCGTCGTCAGCGGCAGTTCTAGAAGTTATCCGGGGGGAGACGGGCATAGCCGGGTGTCTTAAGGCGGAGCGGGACGGCGCGCTGAAACCGAGTTATCGTAAATTGATCTGGGCCGGGGGGCCCCGCCGGGGTGGCGGCGACGCTTCCAAATTTGACAGCGATGGAAATTGGCGGGAAAGATTATTGGTTGCCGGGCGCTCGTGACTTTTTTTTTTCACCTTTCGCCAGTTCGCATTCGAATTTCGAATTAGCGCGCATTCGTGAATACGTCATTAATGCTTTTTTGGCGTTATTTGGTTATTATGATAAATTTATTTTTTTTCCTAAAGCGGTAAATACTAAAAGCCAAAAGAGAGAATTAAAATACTTCACAATAACGAAAGAACGAAAGAAAAATCTTTTGTCTTAATTAAACGTTTTTATCTGCTACTGTGAAGACTAGACCGTTATTATAACTGTTACATTAACTTATAACGCTAGTTACGTCTTACAATGTCTCTGCAACATGTTGTATAGAGTTCGCATCGAATGCTCGTCTCTAAGCGACATGTGCAACCTCCCGATGCGGAGGGCAGGAAACAAATGGGGAGGGAAGTCGCCCGTCGTTAGATGCACGATTTCGGGCAGCGTGTTTCGAGTGACGCGAAATTGGGTAAACAACCCCGTAACTGGGTCACCGTAGGTCGGGACAGATGACGTGGGCCGACCCATCGCTCCATTAGATTTTGTTCCGTGTCCTTTGGCCGAGTTCGTGGTTAATTTGGTTTTATCTAAAACGTAGACATGACTCCGTGGCGCAGTCGCCAAGGTTGTGGCTTCGGCGTCGGGGTTCGTGCGTTCGATCCCCACAGGGGACAACTATTTGTGTGACCCGCAGAGTTGTTTCGCATCTGGGTGTTCGTGTATGTTTGTAAAACGTCCTTAACACAGGATAATGTTATCCTAAAGTAAGGGCAATGTTTTTTTTAAAAAAAAGAGAAAAAGACAAGACCAATGTTTACTGATGAACATTTTTTTTATCCTCACATCATAATACAGTGATGAACTTTATCACTGTATATATGTAGAGTTGAAATTATAACCGTATTGGGCATACAGTTTATTTGAATTTAAAATGTATTCTAACCTTGTTTTGAAGCTACCTTAACTTTAGTTATGATTATGGATACATCGAAATTCTTAGCTCGATCCGGGAATGCAGTATTCGCTCATGTTTCAACTTCGCGCCTCACTGATATACTCTATTCGGTTCTGTTGTGACAGGAAGAACTATTTCTTGTTTATATTTCTTTGACAACCAAACGCTTTTTCATAATCTCCGTCTATTTTCACAGTCATTTTCAGTAACCTCTATATCCTCCAGATTTTAGGAAAGACTCGGTTGCTGTTTTAAATTCGGTGATGGTTATCAAAATCATATATTCATTATATGGCCCGAGTTTGACTAGAATTTTCATTTTATTCGTGAAGTACTGTTTAGATTTTTGTGATGTTTGTAATTTCATTGGTCGCTTTTCACGAATGAACGATCACCAGTAAATTGTCTTTAGTTCACTTCACTATGTATCCACTACAAAAAATTCCATCGCATTTCGTAATTTAAAAAAATCCGCCCAAGCTAAACACGTTACAGAGCAAGCTTTACCTTAACCTCAGTTTAGAAACACGTATCAAGCTACATCAGCTGGAGTCAGAGAGGCTTATATAACGCAGTTTCTTCAGAACCTTGCCCAAAGGGGGGACTCCTTTTAATAATATATTTCATTTATTATGTTATATTTTTTTAAGGTTTTTAGTTTTATGTTCATTGTTCTAGTATGTATTTTGTATTAGTTTATCATTAACTTTTTGATTTTGTCATCTTGAAGCAGTGTTACCAACTAGTCAAAAAAATACCCTAAAATAAAGATGAAACGCAGTTTTATAAAGGCCCGGTTATAAAACCGCGCCCGCGCCAAAGCGGGCACACACCAACGTCTTAATAACAGAATCGGAACGCTTCGAGCGATTTTAAAATAAGAATATCATAACTGGCCACTCGGGCGCGGGGTGGATTTCGGAACGTTCGCACCCACCCTGGAGTTTTTAAAATAAGAAAATTCCGTGTGCGTCCGTGCCGCGACACCGACACCGGCTTTAGCAAGAATCGTACGTCTATGTTCAGTTTAAATTTCGAAAACAATCATTGAATCGAATGTGCTTTACACGAAGATGAATGCACTATCGTAATGGCATATATGACAATATTGTTAATTTATAAATCTACACATATTTTCGTCGAACGGCGAATCAAAGAACGGGCCACTCCGGTTGGACGCACACGAAATTTTCGGTGGAGCGTGATATTTTTAAAATAAGAACCTCTTTCGTGGCATATTCCGTGGAGAGAGATTTTCAAATAAGAATAGTTTCGCGATGCCCCCCCCCCCCCCCCCGGGCCCGAGGGCCCCCCCGGTGCCCCCGCACGTCTGGAGTCTGAAATAAGAATTTGGGGGTTTAGACGGGGGTGGCATATTCGGGGTGGGGTGCGGGATCTCCTTGATGAGAGCGGAGGTTTTTCGCGGAACCCCGTTAGCCCGGGGCCGTCGACCGGCGGCGTCGATAACCGATGAATGTTATAGTAATTGGACGGTCGGTGCTTTCATTTTAGACGTCGGGAGAATGCGCCCGCTATTTATTGTTCTGGCCGAACGGCGGACGATTATATTTTCGCGCTCGATTACGCACACACGCGAGCGAGCGTACACATGCACGCGTCCTTTGTACCCACGTCGCAGTCGTTTTCTACAATTATAATTGACTGTCAACCCGCCCTTTTACTTATGTCTACAGAGAAACGCTCTGATACTGTAACTCCTACTTTGATAATACAGCCTTTCTAGTGAATCGTTGGCGCAGTTACAAAGCTATTGGCCTCGGCGCAGGGGTCATGGGTTCGATTCCCACACGGGACAAGTTTTGTGTGACCCATAGGTTCCAGATCTGAAACCTATGGGTATTTATTTCCGAGGAGGGTTGATGTCAAGTAGGCGGTCGGTAGTAAAAAACAGCCAAAAAAACTTACAACGTGATTCACAAGCTGTGCCGACCCCACTTTGATGGAAGGGCACGAGGATGCTGAAAGCAGCCATTCTCACACTGGTGATATGAGTACAAATCCAAGGCATAAGATAAGGTTTCCTTTCTCATCAGGTCCCGTTTCTGGGATTTGAACCCGCTCTGGGGCGTTACCTCTGAGCCACCCAACCGTTTGGATCAACAAATGAACTAGACTAAAGGTTACTCGTAGAGTCGAAATTGTACGCCTCTCGAAACTTTGCCCTACCCTCAAAAACTCCCGGCTGAAATGTTTACGAGTCGACTCCCTTGTACCCCCGGAGCCTCCGTTAATTTTAACCGACGTTGAGCAAAACGATTGAGTAAATACCACTATGATGTTTACTTATTACTTCCAGAGAGGATCTTTCCGCGAGTACCGAGTTGTACTCGTTTTCTACCGATGACTTACTGAGTATTTGTATAACAATTCGCATACTAATTCGGAATTTAAACAACCTCTTAGACAGTTATGCAACGTCCGAGTAATATTTTTAATGGCGAAATGTTTTTTTTAATTGTATATAATACATATTATGAAGACTGTTGCTGATTTAACTGCAAATCGAACAATAAGTATAACGTTTTTTTAAACGTTTTTTTTTTAAATAAATATTTGCGGACAGTTTTTTACACAACGTTCTATAGGCCCAAACTAAGCTACGCTTGTACTATGGGTAAAGCGATAAATATACCTAAACATACTTGTTTCTTTTTTTTAAATAAATACATATTACATAATTATACAGGATGGCTTTTCTAAGTGTATCCATTTTTTTTTATTAAATTCTAGACATAAATAATGTTATATAAAAATGATAAATATTTAAAGATAATTTTAAGATTTTTTATTTCACTCTTAAGTAATTAATTACATTCATTTGAACTTATCTCAAAAAGTTTAAACTCATTTATTTTACGTGCGATCATTCATAACTAACATGCACACAAGTTTGTGCACGGTAAAATTTAGGTATTTATGAATGACTACCGCATTGTCAACACGTTCTGTTTTTTAGGGAATACAATGGCATTTGTTTTGGAAAAAAAAACTATGTTTTTTATTTCAATAAACGATTATTCTACCGAGTCTGAACCTCTTGTGTAAATTTGGGCACTTGTCAAAAAATCTCCCTGTATATGTTCATTACACAATATTTTTCCAGTAGTGGGGATCGAACACAAACCCTCTGGCGCAAGAGGCAGGGTCACTACTCCCCACGGCAATCGTGTAATATTCGACCTGAAATGTACTTTTAATGTGTATACTGTAATGTATCTGTAATGACCGTTTCATGTCGTTTTTCACCTGAGATTTTTGATAAATGCTATTTTAAGTGTATTGAAATTTGCCTTTAATGTCGTATCAATTTCACTGTTGACTCTCTGCGTTGCTTAATTGGTCACCTTGGTTACTTCCTTACTGTACGTGGATGTGGTTGACATGAAATGCATTTTCCGTCGTATCTTATTCAATTTATTCTTGAAATATAATCTAAGTAAGTGTAGAAACCATATTTCAGCGTATATCAGACTCCCGACAACTACCTTCCCTCCTTCCCTTAGTGAGCGCAAACTCGACGCTTTAACCGCGATCGTAACTAAACGTATCTACGCTATCGTAACTAAAGGGGACATAATCGAATCCGACTCTCAGCTTTTAGACACGACGTGACGTCAATTAACGGGATTCAGATATTCGGCAAGGTTCAGTTCTTTGTGGGCTTAAACGTGTTTTTTCTTATCGGATTTCGCTCGACATGATTTCTTGTGAGACATGAACACTTTTCAGCTAAGTTGATTACAACCCCGCTATAAAATTTCGTTGTTTTAGTTGGCGTTTTCATGATACACCATCTCTTTCATAAACTCCAGTTGGCACTTGACTGGCATTTAATATGGTTTCCTTCGAATTACTGAGTTAGAGATTCTTTCACTGTTTTTGTTTAAAACATTTCCCTTGCTTTAGGAAAGGACTGTCCTGTGTTGTAAGGACGTTTTACAAACATAAATTTCACGTGTACAAACACCCAAATCCGACACAGTTGTCCGTGTATAAGAGTTCTAACATTTTTAATTTGATTCTAATATTTTAACTATTTCTGAACTTGAATATTAACAACTATTATAACGACAGGTAGCACTAACACGTGGGTCCCACAAATTGTTGTCTCGTGTGGGCATCGAACCCACGACTCAGCACGAGGGTATTATCGGTGTCCTAATGATACTCCCGCCCGCAGGTTTGCACGTGTGCCATGGCGGAGTGCTCCTTCGCTCGCTGCCAGCAGGAACGTCGAGCGATACGCAAGGAGCTCCAGCGCTGGACAAAGAACATGGTGTACATACTGGGTGAGAAGATCCTATCCTACCCACTAACACTATAATCACAACTAATCTATACAGTTATTCAAAGTGAAAAGTCGATCAGCAAGCCCACTTTTCAAAAGGTTGTCAACGCATCTGGAAGTCTCGGGTGTAGCAGATGTCCATGGGCGGCGGTGTTCACTTAACATCAGGTGAACCGTCTGCTCACTTGGCAGCTTTTCGCATAAGATAAAAAAGCAGGCGGTTCACCTGTTTTTAACTGATAATCGCCTATGGACGTCTACCTCAATCACCAGATGAAACGTATATTGATGAAGTTTTTGATGAAGTGTATTGCTTCTACTCCTCGACGGTCTTCTGTGAACCGCGGTACTTCCCGGGCCGAGTTCGTCCGTTTGTGTAAAAGCAGAAACTGGTCCTACCAGCGTAATATCAGACCAATTGATAGTATCTATCTATCCCAGAAATACATCATAAATAGTTATACGACGTACGTCTGGGTTTACCCGGTGCAGTTGTTAAGCTTTCGGCTTCGGCACTGGGAGGAGTATATACGGGTTTTGGGTGTTCTCAAGCAAGTAACGTTAGGCAGGGAACCGGCCGTAGATAAGCCAACCAATACCAGTAACGACATAATTACATGTTTTTGTGACGCAACATGAATGGGATGAGCCTGAAAAGGGTGAGGTAAGTATTGGATAGATGACAAATATGATAGTGAGAGTTTGAGAACCAATCTTCCATAAAACGACTACCTCAGTACATCAAAACTGTAACCGAAAAATGTTAGACCAAACTTGCCTAAAGTCCTGATATTTAGGGCAAAAACACGCTACAGGAAACAACTAATCGAATTTATTATTAACCAATAGTCATATAATAGGTTAACTCATTGCTGAACTGAAACGAAGGCCTTACTTTCACAGGCTTTCAAAGCCAATAAAAAAATGTATATATTTATATATATAACACAAGTTGGTAAGGTTAACGAACTAACGACATACATCCCACATAAATTGTTCACTCAAACGAAAATCTCGGACTGAAACTCTATTCTAGTTCCACGAATATCTCTCCCCCCCTCGCGACAAAATTCTCCGAAGCCAGATGGAGTGGACAGAGACGTCGGGTCGATGGCCAGGGCTGAAGTATCGGCGCTGCTATAATTAAAACTCCTACAATGCCTTTGTGAAAATATGCGGGAATTCGATGGGTTCAGCTCAGGATCGCGATTTGTGGCAGTCTGTGGGGGAGGCCTGGGTTCAGCAATGGGCTCAAACAGGCTGAAGGGATGATGACGATGATCGATGATTCAAAGCTATATTGTAGTCAAAGTATCTTTTATATATATATAATTCTACTAAAATGTAAAATTGTACTGTAATGTAAAATCTGACGATTCATAAGAGCGCGTAAGCGTCTATCTGAATAAATATATTTTTGATTTTGATTTACTGTACATGTGTATGTCACTGAACTCCTCCTAAACGGCTGGACTGATTTTAATTAAATTTTTCGTGTCTTTGGGTCGATTCGAGAATGATTTCAGATTCACAATTCGGTCCATATTTTTTTTGACATTTCAATTTATAAGTTGTTTTCGGATTTCCGTCACGTGTACGGGACAAAGTCTGTCGGGCTCGCTAGTTATGTATATAAATCGTGAGATATTCGTACCCACCCTGATGGGCGACTAACACCCTAAGGGTGTCCCTGTGAACTAAATCATGTGAGCCGTCCTTCTGTCTCTTTTGCCACGTTCTGTGATAAAATACAATAGGATTCTGTACCACCTACAGAAAGGGGTAAGAAAACGTAAGCCCAAGCAACTATATAATATTCCATTTTAATACCGCACTCAGATATACCTTAGTACGCAGGCTATAAATTAATAAATCTACATCACGAATGCTATTTCAACTATTTCAATTATAACCTAACGTATTCTGGTATATTTGAGATATCATTATAGCAGTCATTTAGTTCATTTGTCAAACGATGTCGTATTAACAAGTCTCAAGTGCTGACTTTATATAGATCGAATTTAATGCTGTTTACTTGTCTTTTAACTATTTATCTATTCAGTCTAGTCGACGTTCCTATATGGTTTATTTTATACAAAGACGGGGTTTGAAATTCGGTGATACATTTCGTGTAAGGCAAAGTTATTATCGAAAAAAAAAAACGCAACCGCACTAATATTAAACATACAAAAGCTTGTGTCAGTATGTTTGTTCAGCCTACACATGGAAATTAATGTAAGTTTATAGAAAATTTGGAAGGGAGACGACATCACGCATCATTGATATGGGATGCATCCTATATTTTTTTTAAAGTAAGGAGATGACAAGCGTGTTGGCGGAACAAGCTTAATAAATAAAAAGAAACTAAGTAATTCATAAAAAATTAAATACAAAAAAATATTCTAACAATAAAGAATGAAAAATAAATTAGAAAATAATTTAATTTTAAAGAACATTATACTATAATATATACTAATGAAATGACTCTAGTACTTTCTTTTTGTAAAGATAAGGGGAATCGTTAAAAATGTCGATATATTCAGCACGGGTAAAAAGTGTCATTGAAAATCAAGATGCGACTAAAGCCGCGAGCGGGGGCTAGCATCCTAATAAAGGCACGCTAAAAACGGCGCGCAACTCGCGGAGTGGCCGCGGCTAATTTCCTCCGCGTTTTCGCCCAGACGCGAAGTTGGGCGGCTCTCGAAACGCCCGCCGCTCCCAACTTTACGCAATATGCACCTTCCTTCATATGCGAGCGAAGTTTTGTTTTACTAGGGAGCCCTAAAACGGGCCTCCGTCGAACACGACGCACAAGACAAACAAGCGGAGCGTAGCAGCTTCGGTTATTAAAGCTCTTATCAAAGTGGACGCGGACGACGGTAAATACGCGATAATGTGTCCTACGCGCTGGGCGATACCGTTGCAAATACAACAAACGCTTCGTCACTATTTAATAATCGCACTTACAGGAATTGAAATGGACTCGAAAAGACCGCGGCGGCCTGGTGGTTGGAGAGGTTAGCCCTGATTTACAACAACGACCCGAGTTCGAATAAGGAGCTTACAAAAGTTGATTTTTGCTTTCGCATCAATGATATATAGATGTAGTGGACTCGGTGGTGCTATAGGGGGTCGTAGGTTCGATTCCCACACGGGACGGGTACTTGTTCAGAAGGAGGGTTAGCATCAGACAGGTCGATCAAAACGTATCCAATACCAATACCAACGTGATTCACACGTGTCGACCCTACCAAGGTGGGATAATTGTAGGAGGAAGAAGACTGTATTTGAACAGACCATACTGGGAACTCTATCTATATTATTTTGAGCCTAAATAGCTACAGGAAGAGATTACTATCGCTTCGTACTGTCTACTATTGTTTATCCTTTTTGAAATATATTTGCTTGTACTGCTGTATCGTCTAATGAAAGTTTAGCTTATGTTTAAGTGTAACTCGTCTACAGAAGGTTTTTGAAATATATAGCGTTCCTGTTCATGGGAACTCGTTCATGGGCATACTCGAGGCACCGGGGACTTAAAATCCGTCAAATATTTTATTTCGTAATTTAGTGTTAGTCACTTAAGATTAACTTCATAAATGTGTCGATAAAACTTTTTCATAAATTTTCGCCGAAAAAAAGAAGTACAGATTCGAACTTGCCCTTTCCAGATAGCGCGGCAAGACGCTCTACCCACTAAGCAAAGGGGTCGCGCGTAAATCTCAATCCTAATCTAATTTAATTTTTAACAATTTTTGGCGTTATTTTATCAGCTTCCTTCACATCTGAGCATAACTTCTCAAATGACACTTTTACAATGAACATTTGAAAACTAGACATATCGCATTGAAATTTAATTTTTAACCTTAGGGCTATATGCACTTGGGTCTGAAAATTGAAACCTGTGGATGGAACCATTACTGTATTTGCGTTATTAAAATAAATCATTTTCGTTGATCAAAGTTTACATCGACATCGATAAATGAAGGCATGCATGCTAAGAACACAAAAACTGATACGTTGTGTTCGATACGATTCGCTGTTTCCGGGAATCGAACAGACGATACGTAGCGCGCCGTCCTGGTGACCGAGTTATCGATTACAATACTCGTAGAATGCGCAGATCGATTAGCCACCGAGTTATCGATTACAATACAGAGCGCAGATTAGCCGCATGCCAATTTGCATAGCTTTAGCTGCTAATTGTCTGGTAAAAATAGCATGTCGGTAAACGACAGGGGTCTACCATGACTTGCTTGACTGAATGGTTTGTAACAAAAACGAAAACTTGTTTAGGGCGTGCGACCAAATAGTAACTTGCCCCAACTGCTTCATCTAGCCTTGCCAATTATGTTCTAAGTTTGGAATCGTGCACACTAAACATTTCTTGGCGACAGTGAAATAAAGCAGAGTAAAGTAACTGCACTATATATGTCCCACTGCGTATATGTACAGACGCTATCAGGGCACAGTCTGGAGTAAATTGGTGGGCTTCGCATATCTACGAAATGTTTTGACAACAAACGATGGCACAAAAATTTGAAAGATAAAGAAATATCTCGTCTAGTAGCAGCTTCGGTTGTTGCACAAATGGGCTCGTCCGAGACTCGTCCGAGGAAGTAGTACGACCTCACAGAAGACCGGCGTGAAGTGGAAGTAAGATATTTATTATTACGCACCTGCAAACCCTTGATGACTTCGCGGTGCAGTTGCCAAGGTATTGTCCCCGGCGTCTGGGGTCGTGGGTTCGATCCCCACGCAGGACAATTTGTGTGACCCACATATAGTTGTTTCGCGTCTGGGTGTTTGTCAACGTGAAATTTATGTTTGTAAAACATCCTTACAGGATAATGTTATCCTAAAGTAAGGAAAATGTTTAAAACAACAAAAGAAAGAAAGAAAATAAACACTTAACAGGTAAACCGCTCGCTTTCCAACTTCAAATAAAATGTGTTGAAAAAACTACGTTTTAGGGTTCCGTATCTAAAGGGTAAAACGGGACCCTATAACTAAGACTTCGATATCTGTCTGTCTGTCTATCCGTCTGGCTATAACTCAAGGACCGTGATAAGTATACAGTTGAAATTTTCACAGATGATGTATTTCTGTTGCCGCTATAACAATAAACACTAAAAAGCAGAATAAAAAATATTTAATTTGGGCTCCCATACAACAGACATGATTTTGCCATTTTTATAGATAATGGTACGCGCTCTAAGGGCTCCCTTAGAGTGCGAGTCCGACACGCACTTGGTCGTTTTTGATATTAGAGCGTCATGAACAATCTCTTTAAAAGAATAAATAAACGAATACCATAATATAAATCGACTATCGGAATTGTAGTCTTGTGGTTTTCACAGTTACTTAGGGCTATAGCACGGTGGTTGGACACCACTTAGTCGCGGTTCGGTTCTCGCGAATCCGTGATAGCCTGGACAGACGAAACGCAGAAGCGTACACTGTTGAGAATATGATTATGTACCTTGTAACATTGCTATTGTTTTAGTTGCTCTGTGACTGCATAGACAAAACTCTCTACTCTGTGTGATTAGCCAAGATGGTGTAGTTGTGATTTGAAGATGATTAAGTTGATTATTGTCATTGAGCAGTATCTAGTGAAACCCAGTATAAAGTATTAAATAATGTAAACTTAACAGAATAAACCAATCATGAAAGCAGAACTGCATATTTATTTTGATCCACGGAACAACATTTTCTACGTCGTCTTCACGTAGAAAATGTGGAAAATTTCACGTCCGTCTTCTGTGAGGTCGTGGTACTTCCCTGGACCTGCCCATTCCTGCAAGAGTGGATACCACTGCGTATTGCGTACCACAATGTTGTACATTTGCGTAATTGCTTTCTTTATATAAGTTAATATTATAAAGAAAGAACATTTTTTAAAATACCTATATTCCCAATATAGTCTAATAAAGTTGACATGTCCTAATTGGATGGAAATCGTTGACATTTAAATTGAGGTCACATAAAATTGGGAGGAACTTATCGGAATTCCTTTATTTCAACTTGTCATCTGGCCGCGTGAAATTATAATGCGGTATTTATTGTGTTGATTTAAAACGGTCATTGATTAACATTCTGCAACATCTATGAAAACACATAACAATGAAAGAATAACGCGATTTTAAACAAATCTTTGGCCAAACCAAAATTGGGTTTGCCCAACACGATGTAAATTTAAAAGCGACTGCCCCGAGTAATGTGTACCGTCGACATGTCAACCTGTTCACTTATGTATAGTGTGTGACAGCTTATTTACGACCCACATGCTGTAGTGGGTAGTGTACCTGCCTTCTGCGCCAGACGGTGTGGGTTCGATACCGACTACTGAAAAAGATATTGTGTGATGAACATAGCGTTTTTCTAGTGCCTGGGTGTTTATTTATGTATAATATGTATTAATTTACAAAAGAAAACTATGTTTAAGTATGTTTACCAGTTCTGTAATACCTATAGTACAATCGATGCTTAGTTTGGGACTATTTACTTATTTATTAAAGTACTGTGTCAATAACTAAATATCGAAGCTGAGAATTATGAAGATTCGATTTGTCGACGTGTCCACTTGGGCTAATATGGGCTGTTCACCGAAAATACTGTGCATTTTCGTCCGTACGGGAAGTGTCAGGCGAGCATACCGCGTTATTACCGCCGCCCATGGACATTTAGAACACCACGTAAGGTTGTAGATGCGTTGCAACGAGTAATACCCCGGACGAGCCTACCTTTTAGCAACACAGGCTGCCACGCGGTCCTGCAGCGAAAGGAACTCTGCATTATTGCTAGGTCCGGCTGGGTAAGTACCACGATTTCACAAAAGACCGACGTGTATATGTGACCATCGAAGTGTCATTCTTTTGCGCTTAATTAGGGCAGTGAGGGTTTTTTATATGAGGTCGCAAGCGAGCTAGCGTTTCACTTGTTGAGTGATAACCACCGCCCATCGACATTTGCAATACCCGTATGGTTGCAGATGCGTTGCCACCTTTTAATGGAGTGGGCACTCGTAACGCTTCAACTTCACGCCGGTCTTCTTCGAGGTCGTGGTACTTACCCGGATGGACCTGGGCTTTCAGATCCGTCCAGGGCACGCAACAGCCGAAGATATTGCGTGGCCCTACCACAGCCGGGGCATACTTTATTAAAAGGCGATAACGCGTCTGCAACCCTACGGGTGTTGCAAATGTCCATGGGCGGCGGATATCACTCAGCATCGGGTGAACAGCCCGCTCGCTTGTCGACTCACATAAAAAGGCTGCCACGTGGCTCTACGGTGAAACTAACATTTTTCGCCCTGTCTGCCACAAATCGCTGCAACCTGGGGTCGGAAGGCGTTCATAGCTCATTATAGCGCGACGCCACCCATAAGCGGGTCGATGTAGTGCTGTACTGCGTTGCAAATGCCACAATTCGGCCCCGGCTCGGTTAAAGGCAGAATCGCGTCGCGCCTAATTCCACGCGGCAGTGGAGCTATTGCAGCGGGCGTTCCACAGTGGGCGCACTCCGTCTGTAATTAAAAAATAATATTTATGTAATAATAATAATAGATACCTTATTTATCAAGCCTTTTAATATCACACAGTGAATTTTCTTTAAGTTATGTGGTATAAAATGAATTTTAAATGAACTTTGGTTTAAAAACTAGGCGATGCCTGTATCGATCGGGAGGCGATTAATGTTATGCAATCATTTTTATGGCGTAATTTATAATCATACTTTGTTATTCAGTAAAGCGGATATAATGTAGAATGAATAAGAACACGTCATTTAAAATAAAAATAAAGTATTTACTTTAATTTATTTCTCGCTTTAAGCGTTAATCTATGATAAAAGTTAAGTTTTGGATTCCTAAACTGCTGCATTGATAAGTATCGGGTAAAAAAAAGTGTAAATAAATAACTTTAAATAGTACACAGGCTAAAAAATTTATATAACTGAGAAGAATTATTTTTGTAGATACGCGGGCATGGACATGTCACTCTCGAAAAAAAAAAGCAATAACAAGCATTACTTTTAAGAACCGCTACCATGTAGTTCCGTATCTTCATCACTTTTAAAAATCGGCAAACGCGCATACGAAAAACGAAGGCAATTGCTCCTATAAAGATGTAGCAAGACCAAAAAATATCCGCAAACAAGTATACGAAATTGGAAGGCGGTAGTGAGACGAAAGAACAAATTGCTCTAATATCGCAGACGGTCACTAAATGCAAAATACAGTTTCATTAAAATATTCGCGTAAATCAAGGACGGTCGTTAGAAATTTGCTAGACGGATTCCCGCTGCCACTGTGGCGGGGCGCTGGCGGTGTGGCAGGGCGCATGCGCCGCGGCGGCTCTTCGCCAAACAACCTGTTGCAACTCGAGCGGCGTGCACCGATGCATCTCGTCTCCCCGTTATCACTCGCCGATTTGCGAAAATAGCAAGCCGAGCCGAGTGGCCGCGTCGCGACACCAAACGTTCCAAATTCGAATATTTCGAACGCTTAATTCGAAATTCGAACAGTTCTCCCTATCCGATGTCCCGGCGTAGCGTTCCGGCCAAGACGAAATTTTCTTGCCGAATCGCCGAACGTCTCGGCGAGTTTTAAGACGGTGCAGTGATGTGACGAATTGTAGCGGTATCAGCGCTATATCGATTGTGTGTTCGGTTTCGGCAAAGCGCTTCGGCGAAGTTTCGTTTTGATTTTCGAACGCGCTTCAAAGTTTCCCCTTCGAGAGTTAGATAATAGTGACTGTTTAAAAAAAAATTAAAAGTAAATAGTGTTGCGCCGTTCTGATATTTAGAAGTTTATGCGGAATTTAAAATTCGATTTTCGAATTTCGAACGTCCGCGTTCCAAATTTTGAAAGTGCACAGACGCGACGAGAAGCGGACGAAAGTTAGCGGGCACCCGAATAAGCGGAGTTCGTCGTTGCGGAGGCGAGAAGTTCCGAGCAACAAGTGGTCCACTGATGCCTTCCCCGGTAAATGTGCCACTGTAGCAGTTTGCATGCTCGCTGCGGCGTTGCTATCAACGTGTTGCTGTCCTCGGGCCGGATTTGGGGATTTTCCTCGTCCCCGCCGCCGGCTATTAGCTTCACACGTATTTTACCATTTACCCTTTTGACCGATTAGTTCGAGTCGTTAGACCGTTTTTCGTTTTACCGTCACGCGGCGATTTTTTTTTGGGATTTTTAGCCGGCTAAAAATGGGTGGGGCGCCCGATTGGGCCCCTTTTGTTTTAGACGTCTTCCGATATCACGCGCCATCTTAGGTCGGCGACAAAAAACGCTGTCATGGCGGCCGTAAGAGGTTTTTGTTCTAGTTTAACTCTTTAAGAATTTGGGTCGGTTTTTTTTTTAGTTTTCGCGTTTTATATTTTTTTTGCTTTTTCAGGAAATAGACGCTACAAGAATCATGTTTTACAAGAAACTATCAAAGTGGGTCCGACCAAGAAGATTTAAGAGGTATTAGGAAAACTTCCTAATCTCTTTTGTTTCATTTCTCTTTTGTTAACTCACTTTTAAACGAGGCAGAAATATAAATTGGAATTATGGAGTGCTTTTATAAATAATACTACAGTGATATTTAACAGAAAAGCGTTCTTTTTTACTTCGTTATTGTAATTTTTTTTAACAATTTTCTGATAGCAGAACGGATTCCCGATAAAAACAAATAGCCAAACTACGAAAATAGCATAACTCTCCCCAGTGCTGCAGTTAGCCGATACAAACACAAGGTAACGAGATTAAACCATTATTATTCGAGCCGACGCGGGCGATAGTTTTGGCGATACTTGCGAATGAGGCAAATATTCGTGAACAATTTTGAATTCCACGAAACAACATACTTTTTGTGATAAGTTGGTAAACAGAATAAACTGAAGTTAAGTAAATACCGCCGCCCTACACGTCTACAACTCCTTTAGAATGGCAGATGCGTTGTCAACTCATAAAGAATTTATTTAACCGGTTACCTCACTCAACAAACGCAACAGAAAAGGTTTAAAGTATGAAGCAAGTACTTTCACGACACGCCAGTCTTCTGTGAGGTTGTGGTACTTCCCGAGCCTGCCCATTCCTGCCCATTCGTGCAACATAAGCTGCGTGGCCCTACAACAGAACTGTCTGTGTTTTATTGCACTGGCAAATGGGTTATTATATTCGCAACAATGAAAGGGCTGAGCTCACTTCCAATCGGTGAATGTACGAGTTTCGGACCTAGCCCAGTGTGAGACGGAGTGCGACCGAAAACTCATCTCACCCGCCATGATAGGTCCTCGGTCATCTAGTTTCGGACCTCCAATAGGACCTATTGGAGGTCCGAAACTAGATGACCGTAAATATACCGATTGTACGTGCGTTCAGTCGTTTTATTGTTCCGTTATTAGTGTCTCACGAAAGTTTTAATAATTACCATATTGTATTTAACAAAATTAAACACAAAGAAAGGCTATCCGTAGTGTATCTGTTACTTTTCTTTTCTTCTATTACCTCAGCTACTCTAAATGCGTAACTTTGTGTCGTGTATAGAGTATGAATAAACGGATTTTGAACGAAGAGTCGTAACTATTCCAAAGTTGAAGAAATTTTCAGCTAAAATAAAATATGGAAAGCGTGGAGAGTGAAAATGCTACAGACCTCGAAACATAAAAATCTGATTTTATTAGTTATCACTTTTATGGCTATTCCTATGCAATTGAGCGTAATGTTTATTAAAGTAGTGGATAAGTAGTAGTAGAAAGAAAAGTTTTTTTTTTATATTACGCACAAATAAATGCTAGGTTATAAAATTCCCATTCATTCTCACATACAATACAACATAAATGAAACAAGGTTCAGAACTATATTACAGTTCATGGTGACTAGGTAGAAAACAAACCAAAAATTCTCACCGTTCCAAATGTGACAAAATCAAAAACGTGATTTTTTTCTTTTGTCACATTTGATAAGTGGGAAAAGGCTGTGAGTGCTTTAACTGGAGATTAAGTTAGCTACATTCCATTCTGGTATTAACTTAGATATTTGACTCCCCAAATGGGCCAGATTGTGAGATACCCTCCGTAAATAGTCGCCAACAATCTGATAAAAGTTAACTGGACATCGACTAACGAGACGTTAAAGCGACGTTGCTCGATTTCTGTATTAACGCCATGTTTAATTGGTCGAATTCGTTATATAGTTAAACTGTGGGCTGAAATCTAATCAAATCATTTGCTCATCGAGTTAAGAAATAAATATTTCATCTATCGATAGGAAGGTCCAATAAGCAGCCAAGAACGGACGCATTAAATGCCAAATTTTACCTCTTTCAGTCGTCAATAAACTAAATTAGGGAAAGTTAATATGAAACACATTATAAACACTCCGTAGTCCCAGCTAACCAGATCACGAACTCCACATAGATTAGAAGCATCAGCAAAAGAATGTAGATCCAGGAGCATTGCTTAGAGATGCATCGATTCAGACTGTCTCCATTAAGACACACACGAGTGCAAATTAATCGATACCCGTGCCGCGCGATGTTTTTTTTTTTGGACAAACACCGTCTCCAACATTCGGCCAACGTTGGCGCAAACATTCGCCACGCGGGTCGTTCAACCGCGAAAATTCCCCGTAACGAATACCCAACGAGCCCCGCGTCATAAAAACGACGCCGGCTACTGCGAAGGTGCGTGGGTGGGCTGAAGTTGACAGGCCCGTCTTCGAATCTGTCCCGCGAATTACCGCTCTGTTTCGGACAGTGTGACAGATAAAGAAATTAACTGCGCAATTCGGTATTGCGACATGAAATGTACGGGTAAAAGCTTTAAATAAATAATGTATCAGCCTATACATGTCCCACAGCTGGGCAAGGCCTCCTCTGAACAGAGGGTATTAGGGCATAGTCCACCACGTGGCCCTACTGTGGATTGGCGGACTTTGCATATCTTCGAAATATTTTTTTTGTTATTAATTCGAAAATATGCAGGTTTCCTCACGATGTTTTCCTACACCGCTGAGCACGTGATAATTATTTATTATATTAATTATTTATTAAATAAATAAATAAATAATAAATATTTCGTCGGTGTGGCAATCAACCGTTTGGCTTAGTGGCTAGAGCGTCATGCCGCGAATCCCGAAGACGTGGGTCCGATTCCCACAGCGGCGAAAAGCTTTTCATTCCTTTTTTTTTTTTCAAATTTTAAAATAATAAATATTTCAGGGCACATTTTTACACGTTTTCTAGTCCCAAACTAAGCAACGCTTGTACTATGAATACTAGATGAGTGATAAAAATTCTTAAACATACGTTTCTTTTGTAAATAAATACATATTATAAATATATAAACTTTTTTGAATATTATTTAAAAAAAATTAATTGGATAAATCGCAGAAAACGTTGCTAAATTCAAAAAAAATTATAAAGGAAAATTTGTGTGTAAAAGTCTGTTATAATATTTGTGATTATTTAAATGATAACACACTCTGAAAATGGATTGATCGCTCCAGGTTGTTCCAATTGGACTACATACTAAATATTGCATACTTATTTCAAATTCAAATAATGGTACAAAAAAAAAGGCAACCACTGAGTTTATTTCGCGGTTCTTCTCCTGTCAGTTGCTTTTCTTTTATGAACCGGTAGTAGTGTTTGGTCAATCAAATGAATATTATGCTTCTAGTTCTATATTAAATAAAGATATTTGATGTTTACTTTTACGTTTATCTCGTGATAGTAATGTTCTTACTGTATCTGTCTTAACTCTGACGTAGGTAAGATGTCAAACAACTTTCTGTCCGGTAACAATGACCGCTGGAAACGTCGGGAAATTAGGTGGGTGCCACACACCGCTTTAACTTTCATACGTAGGTACACCAGGCGCAGTGCATTTGCCGCGGAAGCGAGATTCCTGGTTAGCAGCCTAAACAAAATAAAACGCGTTAAAATCCGTAAAACAGTTAAATTTAACCAAAACCGTTGTTCCTCAAGCGAGTACAGAATTCATTTGTTATTGTCAATGACATTATATCACGGTTAGAGGCGACTGTGTGTTTGAACTGTTTAATATTTACCCCTTCATATTACATTGAGTGTGTTATAACAACAGTGTCTACTCTCGAAAATGATGCCACAGGTAAATTTAACTTAACGTCGTCGAACTATGTCTGTAACGTAAATTCGCCTTGCCTCGGTCTATTTGCTTAATATTGTGCAGCCACAACGCAAAGGAGAGCAGTATAAACATGGAAGCGGAACATGTCCCGGGATTCCTTTAAAGGAACGGCCAAATGTTTGCTAAATTATGTTCATTTTACGTGTCTCTTACAATAACGAAAGGCCAATTTGAACTAGTGAATATAACAGTCGCTTTCCAGCGTTTTTCTGATCCTTTATAGATTCTAAACAAAATTAATTCATCCGACGCTTATGTTATGCTGCAAAGTTAAAGTATCTTTATTCAATATAGGCTTAACTTAAGCTCTTATTGAACGTCAACAAAAAAACTACCACTGGTTCACTAAATAGACCTGAACAGAGAAGAACGGGCAAGAAACTCTGCGGTCTGGTTCTTTTTGGTATTTTTTTTTGTGATGCAATTACACAAACTTATTTAGGTATAAAAGCAGCTTAATTTCATTGGCGATTTGGCTAGAAGAAGTCTAACTGCTTCCGTAAAAACAAAAAAGAGTAAAAACTCATAATTAAAACAAAGAGACGAAAGCCAGCTTTCTTTTCACAATCGATTGCAAAATCGTACTAACTACCGATGTAATTTTCTTACAACCGAGTTAAGAAAGCACGTGGACTTAGATTTGAACTTCTCAATGACGAAAGGCCTTCGGTCGTTGAACTGCGAGGGTGTGGAGCTAAATTTAAATTCGCGAAAATAAAGAAAACTTCCCCAGTTCGACAATTCGCCGAGTTATATTTCTCCTTTTCTGATTGTCGTGTCTGACTTGAAATCTGCTGTGGCTTTTTACGACTGGTGCCTAAATTCCTTTGGTGGGAGTACAAGGCATGGTAAACTACTCTCATTCATGACTGCATGCTGTTACGATTTCATCCGGGAGAAACGCTTCTGCTTCGCCCCCGTTGGTCGAAGCGTGATGTTGAATACCCTATAGTCTTTCGAGTAATTCCCCAACAATTGGGCTACCAAATTATAAACCGGCCAAGTGCGAGTCGGACTCGCGCACGCGGTTTCCTACCATTATCTACAAGAACAGAAAAAAAAGTCTGTTGTATGGTAGCCCCAATTAGACAAATTTTCTGGTTTTTTTTTTAGTATGTGTAGTTTTAGCGGCAACAGGAATACATCATCTGTGAAAATTTAAACTGTCTAACTATCACGATTCATGAGATATGATCATCCAAATGCCTGGTGACAGACGTACAGACAGACAGAAAAAAACAGAATAAGAAAACTATTTAATCGGTGCTCCCATACAACAGACATGATTTTTTTGCCATTTTTCTATAAAAACACTATCTATATAATGGTACGGAACTCTTACGCCCGGTTTCTGAAACACTGACCATCGTAGATATCAACCGATCAGCTCTCAAATTTCGTTTTAGTTGCCAAAACGATGGTTAAACTCTCTGAATTGACCAGAATGATCTTCTTAATGATCAGAATGGATAATTAAAAGAGTTTAACCATCCTTTTGGAAAAACAAATGACATTTGAAAAGCCAGTTGACAGCTGATTAGTTGACATCTACAATGATCAGTGTTTCAGAAACCGGGCGTTAGTTCGCTAGTGCGACTCGTACTTGGTCGGTTTTTTATTAATATAGTAATTGTGTATACAGTTCTGAAAACGTTCAGAGATATCGTACACTATTTCCTAAATATGCTGCCTAAGAAAATATCGTAAGGTTTACTATTTTTATTTTCCTTTTATCTAATGAATACAACCGTGACTTTTAGAAAATAGAAAGAAATTAATTCGCTTTTATAATCACTAATAAAACAAAGTCGTCCCGCTGTCTGTCTATCCCTATGTATGCTTAGATCTTTAAAACTACGCAACGGATCTTGATGCGGTTTTTTTCCTAGATAGAGTGATTCAACAACAATGTATAATACATGCAACCGCGCGAAGCCGAGGCGGGTCGCTAGTACTTAATAAAAAAGAAGAGCAGTATACTTTGGCACGAGTTAGGAAGCTTTGTCTATGCTATAATGGTGGACTTAGATAATAGGGTAACTATTATCTAAGTCCACAAGAATCCGAGGCTAAATAAGAACAGAAAAAACGCATTCCGT